TTCAGTCACTTATGGCTCTCCACTTTGCAACGGTCCTTGCTGGGCTCTACTGTACTTTTTCACAGACCTTTGCAAGCAGCCATCCCTTCTTGATTCCACAGGATCACAGCATGGTTGATGTTGGAAGGGACCTCTTGAGATCATCTAGCCCAACCCCCCTGCTCAAGCAGGCTCAGAGCAGGTTGCCCAGGACTGTGTCCAGTCAGGTTTTGAGTATCTCCAAGGTTGGAGACTCTCCGACCTCTCCAGGCAACTTGTGCCAGGCTTTGACCACTCTCCTCACAGTAAACAAGTGATTCCTTGTGTTCAAATGGAATCTCAGGTGTTTCAGTTTGTGCCCGTTGCCTCTTGTCCTGTCACTGGGCACCCCTGACAGAACTATCGATCTGACGTGGTGTGCACGTTTACTCAGTCAAGCCTGCTCCTTTGCCTCAGTCACTAAGGCTGAATAAGACATGCCCTTACGCAGGTCTCCGTACAAACATAGTAAATGTGTGATTTTGGGCTACACAGCACCATGTGTGGCTGCACCTGGTTGTGGTGGGTTGTTGACCCGGGATGGCAGGTAAGTCCCCACCCAGTTGCCCGGTCACTCCCCCAGCAGGGCAGGGGAAAGAATTCGGAGGGCAAAAGCAAGAAAACTTGTGGGTCTAGATAAAGCTGGTTTAACAGGCGAAGAAAGAAAAGAAAAGAAAAAAAAAAAGATAAGTGATGCAAAGGCACTCACTGCCCACCTCTCACCAGCAGACTGATGCCCAGCCAATCCCTGAGCAACGGCTGCCTTGGAAAAACTCCCCCCAGTTTTACTGCTAAGCACAACGTCATACGGCACGGTCAGTTCAGGTCAGCTGTCCCGGCTGCGCCCCCTCCCAGCCTCCTCCCTGGGGGTGTCGAGTGAGAAACAGGGCAGGCCTCAGCGCCGAGTAAGTCCCGTTCAGCAACGGCTAAAATGTCTGCGTGCTACCAACAGTTTTGGTCACAGATCTAACACGCAGCACCACGTGGGCTGCTATGAAGAAAATGACTCCATCCCACAGACCCAGTCCGCAGGTCAGTCAGAAGAGGGGTCCATCTTCCCCACCACCCTATCACCGACAACGCCAGCTGTGGACGAGATAGTTCCCCAGATGCCTACGGCCTCCAGCTGCCGGGCTCACAAAGCCCCTGAGCTGTAACGCTGCATCTTTGCATTTGAAAGGCAGTAAGGTTTTTCTTCTGTAAAGTTTTCTAGTCGCTCTTTTGAACCCTACAACACCAGCAAGTTCTATCATACATTGCATGAAGAACCAACCCATGCTTTGGACGCCCCTCTAGTAACACCCCAAACCAGCAACACACACCAGCAGCAGTTTCATGTAGAACCTGCTCCAAATAATCAGTATCTTTTTCCTTCGCTGTTTTCAGAGTCATTGCTCAGTCCCTACTTACTCCATGCTGTAACATGACTGCAGAAGGCTGTGCTAGCCACGGCCTTGTCTCTTCCTCTGGCTTTTTGTGACTAGGGCAAGGGTACATATGAGCGCCGCCACAGCTGAGCCCAAAGCCACTGGCACCCCCCCATTGCCTTGGGGCAGCAGAGCAAAGGACTGGTGTCTCAGGAAGCTCCTGCCTGCCAGACAATCTGTGCAGCAGGACCAGGATGCCGAGAAGTTTGTACCCAACATGGACCTTCTCCTTCGTCCTGTGCCAGGGCAAGTTTCTAGCCTTTCAAACGAGCATGTTCAGACAGCGTAGCCACCTGATTCCAAGGTGAGCAATCCCTTGTTAGGAGATGATCCCAGCAACTGAGCACAAACAAGCCTTGCAGTCAGATGGTTTCCCAGGACCAGCTGCCAGACTGCTCACTGGCTGTGCTGAAGCTGGACCCCATGTCCTAAGCCCTTCATGCTTCTTCCCCAACAAGACACTGTCCTGCATGCCTGTCCAGTGCAGCACGAGAAGGTTGGGCTCCCACATCCCACAGCTTTTGCTGAGTAGCAGCACCATCTACTGGGCAACTACCGGGCATGCCCGCAATGCTGACTGTTCCCCCACCCACTCCACTACCCCGAACCTCAGGAGGCACAGAGCCTCTGCTCCTCCATTTGTGTCCCAAGCAGGAACCCCAGAGACCTCTCCTGATGTCCAGAGGTGCAGGCACCCCACGAACCCAACCAACACACAGCAGCCACGAGTTTTAGGAGGGGCAGAGCACAGCCCTGAAAGGTGTTTCTGCCAAGCACGCTACGACCACCAACCCCAGCAACATGCTGAGCCCCAAGAGTGGGATAAAGGTCTCTTGAAAAAAGGCTGCAAGAGCCAAGGAACCAGAGCAGGCACTCTGTTCTTCAAAAGAGAACTGCTCTCAGAGGTGAGAGTGCAGGTCCAGCATGCTCCTAACACGTGCATTTGCTGCCTCTAGGAGGCTGCTGGCAGGCGTTCAGGTACAGCTCCTGCAGCAATTCCCTCCCAGGGCTCGCAGCCCTGAGCAGAGCTCTGTGCAGGCCTGACCAGGGCTGCCCAGCCCTCAGCAGGGCACAGCTGCCACTGCCCATGGGGCACCTGTCTCGGGGTGCTTGGCTGGCAACCAAGGCCACAGGCACTTCTTGGGCACGAGCTGAAGCGAGGGCAGCAGGTGATCCTTCTATCGGACCCAAGCAGGTTGTCTGCCCGCAGACCTCTTTGCTGACCAGAGCGTTCCTTGAGATGCAGAGGTAACACAATGCCCTTCCCAAGCCACAGCCATAAGGGTGAAGAATCTCAGCCCCACAAGAAGTCATGCCCTCCCCACTTGCCAGTGCTGTACTGGTCAGCACCATGATGACTTGTCTCCAGAGGCAGCACCCAGCCTTCCTCCTGAAACCCAGGAGCCCCACACCATCCCCTGAGTGGCAGCCACGTTGTGTGTGCCAACAGAGCCTGCTCTCCTACCTGTTTGCTTCCTCCCTCAGTTGACCCTACTGCAGGCAAGTTTGCCATTTCTTATCCTGAAAGTCCCATATTTTAGAACTGTTTCTGCACCACAGCCATTCACCTGGTTAGATCCCTTCTCCCAGAGAGTAAAACTTGCCCAACTGTTTCACCACACCTTTCAGTTGGCATGTTGCGTATCTATTAATTACACAATGTTTCTGGTAGCTTTTCATTCATGCTGCGTTGCAAGGGCTCTTTATCAACTCCTCCCAATGACAATTATAGACTGATCTGGCACTCCAGGGAGGTAGGTTCAGGGACTTTTTATCTGCTTACAGATTCTGCCACAAGTGTAGAAACTTGCAAGCTTCTAATTTACCTCTGACAGAGCCTAGAGTCTAAACACAACATGAGCACAAAGAGATTTGAGAGTAAATGCTTAAGTGTGAAAACAATCCTCCCAAAAACAGGCACTCTCAGTTAGTTTGGAAGATCCCATCACACCGTCACCACGCCCCAACACCAGCGGTCTGCTGGCCCCCAACCTTAGAACACATACCTTGGTGTAAGAGTCAGCATCATCACCCCTATGTAACGGCGCTTTGTCTCTGTATTGCCAAACCAAGAGCCTGTTGAAGGAAAAGACACCAAATGACAAGGCTGAAAACAGACACGCACTCAGAACAGCGGTGGGCTGAGCCAGCCAAGTCACAAAGCCCACAGACCTCAAGGCAGACATCATGCAGAGGGAGTCATTCCGACTCCCTACCAACAGCTTATTTAAGTTCAATTTACCAGTGAGAGCTTTATAGGTATTGCATACTTTGCTTCCCTGGTTTGAGTTGTCTTTTTTTGACTGAGAATATCGCTCCACGGTGTCAACATGAGAACCAGATAGCAAGAGTGTGCATTAAATAAATGATAAAAACACAAAGGAATAAAGAGGCAATGTTCTACACAGCTAAGTTAACTATTTGTCCTTTATGATACAGCTGAACCCCGCACCAGCATTTCCATTAGCCACAAGGCTAAGTAGCCCTCGGTTTCCAGGTCATCCTTTCCCCTTATGAACACCAACAAATTGTCCAGTGATTTTCCCATATGTTGGGATCTAATGAAAAGTAGCAATGGACACACACACACACACACACACAAAAATCCTTACCAACTCCTGGGGACTTAAGTGCAAGCTACTTGGGACACTTTAAAAGTCTTTATCTGCAGCAGATGCAGGCCAGCATCCTCCTTGCAGTTTGCTAGGCCCCTGTGGGCAGGGAAGTAGCAGCACAGCTTTCTCAGGGCAGATGGGAGGTTCATGCCAGATGGGAGAATCTTCCTGCCCCCAAAGATTCTTTCTCCTTCTCTGCTCTCCCTTCTCTCAGAAGGGCCTGGAGCCCAGCTGTGCCAGAGCTTCCCTCTTTCCTCCTCCTCTTTCTGGCCTCCTTCCCCCAAGACCAGAGCAACGAGGCATGCAACTCACTTTTGCGCTGCTCCTCCTTTTGCAGGAACTTCCGCAGACGGTCTGAGGGGATGGCAAAAGAGATGCCTGATGTCACTTTCATAGTGTTCACTCCAATCACTTCACCATCCTGCAGGGGAAAGGGCACTGTGCTATCCCGCCTGCATCACTGTGGAGAGGAGGAGAACTACTGTGCAAGCCTGGAGTCCCGCCTGTGCGCCCATCGCTTCCCAGCTTGCTGTTTCAGCAGCCTGCCCGGCCCTGCTGGGGCTGAGCAGGGACTGGTCCCACGGGCTGCAGCCCACGCAGCACCTCCCTCTGCCCTGCCAGCATCAGCCAAGCGGCCTCACCAGGGCAGGGCTCTGCTCTGCCACGCCAGAGTCCCATGGGCTCAGGCTCCCTGAAACAGACGCTGCACAGGGTGCCCACACTGGGCTGATCCCCTGCTCCGCCTCACAAGGAGCCTGGAGCATGTACAGTCCCTCCCTCACGGCAGCTTTAAGCACCCACAAGTGCTCCCACCGAGCGGTGCCGAGCCCCAAGGGGCACAGACCGAAGGGCATGCGGCACATCTTCACCCCGGCCAGTGAGGGTGCAAGCAGAACTTACCAGGTTGACGAGGGGGCCCCCAGAGTTCCCGAACTGCAGGAGAGGAGAGAGCAGTAAAGAGGTCATGAAAACAACATCCTCGCACAGCAGGACCCGCGGCAGGGAGGCAGAGTCCAGTGAGCAGGGTCAGGCCGAGAAATGCAGTCAGCGCCCAGGGTGACCAGCCAGATTCCCTTCATCTCCCAGTGCTCTGTGTCCAGCCTCCTCTGACCTCACGGCACCCACAGCCCTTCTCCAGCTCCCCACTCCCCAAAGAGGGCAGCCAGGATGAGGTGCCAACCCGCCATGCACCGCAAGGTCACCTTACATCAATAGCAGCATCAGTCTGGATGTACTCCATGTCAGAGGCGGTCAGGCCCAGCTCCCGGCTGCCCCGCTGGGCAGAGCTGACGATGCCGGAGGTGATGGTGTTCTGCAGGGCGAACGGGCTGCCCATGGCCACCACGAACTCTCCCTGCCGCACCTCGGAGGAGCGCCCAAGGGGCAGGGTGGGCAGCGGGTGCTGGAAGAGAGAAGGACAGTTAGTAGATGGGAGGGAACGAAAGGAGTGTCTCCACAGCCGTGATGCACACCTTAGGCTTGATCCTGATGGTGGCGATGTCTGCAACCTGGTCCACGTCCTGCACCACAGCATCATACTGCTCGCCACTGGCCAGCTTCACCCGCACACGCCGCCGGTTGGCCACCACATGTGCGTTGGTCACAATGAGCCCATCCGGAGACACCAGGAAACCCGAGCCATTAGAGATGGGCACATCACGGCCCGAAAAGGGATGCCTGCAAGGTGGGCACAGATCAGGGACAGGTGCAGGGACCCTGAGGGGACTGGCGGGGACTCTGGGGAGGGCTGGCAAGTGCCAGGCAAACTGGGTGGCCCAGACTGGTAGGCCTAGAAAGCAGCATGGGATAGTGAGGATGTCTGGGCAACAGCTCGACGCAGGGCACTCCTTCACTTCCCCATGAAAGGTCCCCATCTTGAGAGTCTGCACAAGCACACACGCAACAGGGGCACAAACAGGAAGAATCAGGAGCCCAGGCACAACTGCAAAGGTACAATCCTGCTGGGACTATGTAGGCACAGTGGGAAGCTTACGTGAGTGGAGAGCTGCAACAGAGGATGCAGGCTCTTTGAGAAAGAGCAGCAAGGAGGTAAGTAGGAGGGGCTGTGATCTGTGCAAAGCAGCCTGAACACACAGAGCCTTGCCTCGGAGCAGGTAAAAACCACCTGGGAGGTGGTGGTAACGTCTTCTGCAGACAGCTAGAGAAAGACTCACTATTGCAAGCCCTGGTGCCCATGAGGGACAGCAATCACTCTGACCTCTGCGGGAAGGCCTAGTGCCACAAGACACAGAAAAGGTTAAGGTGATCGGTGCCTTTTGGCCTTGTTCCTTGAGACTCCCAAGTCCCCCTGCCCTGAGGCAGTCTGTGGGAATCCAGCATTACACAGATCAAGGGAGGGATCACTGAAGCCAACTGGACACGCACAACTCCATGGCACTAGACGGGACACACACGAGGGGGATAGCTGGTGTCCTTGTGAGCGCTCCGATGTCACAGTGGTAAAGGGGGGCTCCTAATATCTGGAAAAAGGCAAAGCTCACACCAGCCTGCAAGATTGCCAAGAAGGAAGGTCCTGAAAACTGCAGGTCAGTCAGCTTTGCCCCCATCTCTGGGAAAGTTATGGAGCAAACACTGCCAGAAACCAACTCCCAGCACACAAGAAGGTGACTGGGAGTAGCCAGCACAGACTTACCAACGGCAAATCACAGCTGACCAACCTGGCTGGCTTCTGAAGTCAGATGAGTGGCTGTGCAGATAAGGAGTGAGCAGCATAAAGGGTGATACTGTTTAGCTTTAGCAGGCTTTCAGCATGCTCTCCCGTGGTACCCTTCTAGCCATGCAGGTGACATGCCAGCTGATAATCGGGTAAGGTGAATGGAAAATTGGCTGGAACGCCAAGGCCCAAGTTCAGCTGGCGGTCAGCTACTAACACCATGCCTCAGGAACTGAGAGAAGGGCTAATGCCATTTAACACCTTTCATGTTCATGAACAGGAGGATGGGACACTGCACACACTCAGCAAGCCTGCAGGTGACACCACACTGGAGGGAGCGGTCAGCAAGCTGAAAAGCAGAGCTACTATTCAGAGTTGCCTTGACAGGCTGGAGACGCAGGATGACAAGAACGTTACGGAGTTTAAAGGTAAATGCAAAGTCATGCTCCTGGGATAGAGTAATCCTGCGCCACAGGACAGCCTGGGGCTGCTGCCTAGAAGGCAGCTTTGCCAAAACAGTCCTGGACAAGAAGGTGGCAGTGTGGCAGCGGCATGGCCCTGCAGCAAAGGCCAACCATGTGCCAGCTGCATGCACAGGCAGCGGGGCGAGGGGACAGATCCGTCCCTCCCACGGCACTCGTGGAACCCCACCCCAATGCTGTGCCCAGCTGACGCTGCCTGGGACACGAGATGGGACGGTCGCGGGAGAGGCCAGCAGAGGCCCTGGAGGTGGCCGGGGCTGAGGGCTGCACTGTGCAAGGAGGCTGGGAGAGGGGGACTGT